GTAGACTACAGAGTCAGACCCTGCTTAAACAACTACTGAGCCAAACAAAAAAAAAATTAGAGTCAGCATGGACAATACAGACTTTTACATTTTTGTATAACTGAGTTATGAGGTCAGATACCTATGACTATTGCTGAAGTCATGCTGAATTGAGCAGAAATGCTTCCTGCTCTGGGGGACGGTGGAGATGCTTACTGTACAGAAAGGGTTCTGTTAGAAAAATGTTGGAAAACCGGGTGATGGCGGTGCATGCCTTTAACCCCAGCACTCTGGAGGCAGAGGCAGGCGGATCTCTGTGAGTTCAAAGCCAGTCTGGTCCACAGAGCGAGATCCAGGATAGGCACCAAAACTATACAGAGAAACCCTGTCTCAAAACAAAACCAAAAACAAGCAAACATACAAAACAAAAAAGAGAAAGATATTGGAAACAAAGCTAGGTATGGTGATGTACACTTGTAAAGTTGAGGCAGAAGGCTAGCAGATTTGAGACTAGCCCAGGCCACATAGTGAGTTCAGAGTTGATCTGGGCTATACATAGCAAGACTGTTAGTTATTATTATGTGCTGTGTTATTCATTAAGTGGTGCTGTTTACTATGTAAGAAAAGCCACAGGATATGACAAAACTCACTATAAGAGTTTATTAGGAGGGGAGTGCTTAGGTCTATGGAAGTGGTTGTGCAGGGGAGAGAGAGGAAGATGAGAGGGGAGGAGTCTGTGGCCCGGTTTTTATGGATTCCCCTTGCACATGTGCAAATGGGCTTACGAAGCTACACCACGCATGCGCATAGATTATGTGATCACGCTAAGCACAAATTATGTGACCACACAGCGTGTGGATTACATGCCCCAGGATGACTAAGCCTCTTGCTTGGCTACTGGACAGTGCATGTGTGATCATGTAGCAGCAAAGACCTCGACTAATAATTTTCAGATTGAAGGATGGTGTGGGGAACATTTCTCTTTGCTATGTAGAAGGGGATTTGGGTGCCACTTCTCCTGACTGACAGAAAGAAGGAACAGAATGGTCATGTCACCGAGTCTCCTGTTCTAGAAAGTACTGTAGTTTGTTTTCCCAGATTTCTGATGTAACAGTCGATCTCCAGTGGGAACAGGCACTTTCTGCTCCTAATGGTCTGGTGCTCTTGCCTCTCTGCTCAGTGACCCAGACACTGTAGCTCAACAGAATACAGGCTTAGGAGGGAGGATGGATGGCCACAACTTTGTCCCTAAATACGCAGTCATTAGACTCAGTTCCTCAACCCTGATTTCTCATTGGGATTATCTGGGGTGCTTTCTAGAAATACTGAGCTCAGAACCCTCCATTCGAGATTCTAGTTTATCTGATTTGGTTTGTAATTATGGGCTTCTAGAGAAGACAAACCTGCCTCATGTCAACTGGGATCCCACTACTGAGCACACTGTTAGATGAGAGAGACTAATTTTCAGTTAGCACAAGACCACCTAAAATAAAGGCTGAACTTCCCAGTGTCCTTTGCAATGAGATTGGCTGCTCAGTTGAGAATTTAGGATTTATTCAGTGTAATAAAGAGGAGAGAACAGAGCCCATGGTGGTTTAATGATGAGAATTTATTTCCTCCCAGGACAATAGGTCTTTAGGTTGCAGTCCAAGGCCAGAACAGTGGCCCAAGATATCATCAATTCCCAGGCTCTTCCTGCGTTTCCATTGTGCCATCTTAGCACAGTGGCTTCTCCTGTCACACCACGTGACAGTGGTTGTCGCAGTCCCAAGCATCACATTCTCATTTACTGCAGGAAGGAGACCTGAGGGATGGCTCCTGTTGTTTTTTTTTTGTTTTTTTTTTTTTTGTGGTTTTTTTTTTTTTTTTTTGTCTCTTTCATTGTTAAGGAAAGCAAAAAACTTTCACTGAATCTCCCTAACAGACTTCCCACACATATCTCACTGGAAGAACCACGACCTACGACCACTCCAGCCACAAGAGAGGCCACAAAGGAGTATTCAAATTGTTCTAGCCTCTGTACTGGAATGGAGTAAAACAAGTCGGGATGGAGAAGATGTTTGATCAGCCACCCAGCCGTGTCTGTCTTGTTCACTGGCTACATCTGATCAGCCAAAGTTTCTGTACATTACACTTCGTGGAGTCGCTTCTTAATCTGCATCACCAGAGCGGTCTCTGTTTGCAATGCGTGTTTGCTGAAGTATGTGAGAGCATTCAGTTTTTCTAGAAAGGACAAAGCAGGCAAACAGGATGCCAGCAGTTCATTAAAGGTGTGAAGAAGCACTGATAGCAAGTAAATGAGATGCAGGCAGAACACGGAAGATGTGTTAAGTAAAAATACGGATGAAATTAGAAGCGCACGAGATGGAAGTAGAATTCTTAAGGTGTGCTAACTGCAGACAGCAACAGGCCGCAAGGCAGTCTGAGGATGTGCAGAATAAGCCAATGTGATGTAACAGACAAAAGAGTGACAAAGAGGAAGAGATGAGTGTGCCCTTACTGGGCTGACAGTTATGTCATCCCTAAACCAGTCATCCATCCATTGGTGACACCCAATGTGAACACGGTTCCCTTGTGGTCCTGTGTGAGCTCCATTCAAGAGCTGCAGATAAAAATTGTAACTGTTTGGAAAGCTACAGCTGTGGTTGAGCATCACATGGAAAACTATGTGTCTTCAAGCCTTATGCTTTCTGTCTGTGAGGTCTGGTCCTCATAACCATACCATCAGTAGGGAAGGATGCTGAGGGGAGGTCAGGGAGTAACGAGTGCAAAGGGGAAGAGAGGGAGCGGGTATGTGCTTGCACCCTAGCCAAGTGTGTTAACACACGCCATTTCTTTCTCTTACTCCTCACTGATTGTTTTGGAATGATTCAGTCACCCATGGGTCTAAGTTACTTTGTATTTTCCTTCCATGAGTGACACACCTCTGTTTCTGGGACAGTTTACCTGTTCCTCTGTCTGTCTACTTCAGTGTCCCTTCCCTACACTTCCACCAGAGAGATCTTTCACAGCTGTGAATCTGGTCAGAGTCACCCTGTTTTCAACCCTGCATCGTCGTCTTACCATGGGCATCTGGGAGCACCAGCACCTTATATGGTGCTGCACTGGGCTCTTGGAGAAGCATACTCTGAGATGCAGATAAGCATGCAAAAGTGCACTAGGGGAGTACACTCGGGAGCATGCAGAAATGCACTGAGGAGTGTCCTCAGGAGCATGCAGAGATGCACTGGGGGAGTGCCCTCAGGAGCATGCAGAAATGCACTGAGGAGTGTCCTCAGGAGCATGCAGAGATGCACTGGGGAGTGTCCTCGGGAGCATGCAGAAGTGGACTGGGTGAGTACCCTCAGGAGCATGCAGAAATGCACTGGGGAGTGTCCTCGGGAGCATGCATAAATGCACTGGGGAGTGCCCTCAGGAGCATGCAGAAATGCACTGGGGAGTGCCCTCAGGAGCATGTAGAAATGGACTGGGGAGTGCCCTCAGGAGCATGTAGAAATGGACTGGGGAGTGTCCTCAGGAGCATGCAGAAATGCACTGGGGAGTGCCCTCTGAGCATGCAGAAATGCACTGGGGAGTGTCCTCAGGAGCATGCAGAAATGCACTGGGGAGTGTCCTCAGGAGCATGCAGAAATGCACTGGGGAGTGCCCTCTGAGCCCTTTATGTTCCTCAACCCTCCAACACCTACCAGTTGTTGAGTGTAAGTTGTCCCTCCATGTGACACTGTTGTCCCTCTCTGCAGCAGAGGACAACTCTAGAAAGTAGTCACTCTGATCCAGGTGCCTCTGCCCTGATCCAAATGGCGCCATGAAGTCCTCAAGACTTTACCTGGCCTTTGCCATTTTCTCTGTGTTAGTTCTTGCTTTGCTTTTATTAAAGGCGAGTCCACCGAGAATCAGTTATCACCCACACATCTCAGTCACCTTCCCTTCCCTGCCTGGGGCACACCATTTCTCCTCCTCCCATAACGTCTTTGCCCATGGCTCTACACTTCACACCAGCTGGACCCCTAGCTTCTCAGGTCAGTCCGGCTCCCACTCCCTCCCACCTGGCCCCCTCTGAGCTGGTGGGCCGGGTCACGGGGGAGAACAGAGCTGAAGCCCCACACGAGGCTCAGAGAGTGAGGACTTGGTCAGGAGGGCATCAAACGGCATCCTCTCTCCCGGGGCCTCTTCCTTCTCATCCCCACTGTACCCCAAAGCCAGCAACCAGAAGCCTGGGATTGTTTCCTAACAGAAGACCCCATTCTATGGTTCTAAGCTGTGCTTTGCCATTTTAATAGCAGGCTAAACTGGAAAACACAGAGGGAGCGTTTTGAAGATGCCCTGCAGCTGGATTTGTTTTATGCTAGAGCAGTTTTGCTGCCTGGCTGCTTCCCGCTGAAAGCACGGAGGATGTGCTGAAATGCTGCCTGCCACCGTAAACAAAACCAGCTCAGGCAGAAGCCTCCCTCTTGCACTGACAGATCCGCCTCATAAACCGTAAACCGCTGGCAGCGGTACCGTCTGACAGGCCCAGCGCTAGGAAGCGAGGGCTTCAACAATAACATCGGACAGCGGGGAATTCCTAACTCTGCAAAAGACATTAGCGTCATCCGATGCAGGGCCACTAGTTGACAACTGAGGAAACTGAGGCCAGGTCAGGCTAGGTCACACAGGTAATGAACGCGACTTGAACTTGGCACCGAGGTTGATTTTTGCTTCCTTACATTGTGTTCAATCTCATCACTTGGCCTTAATGTCTTTGTTTTGCCGTTGTGCCCTGCAGAGGACCCCATGTTATTTCCCCAAACACCAGTAATTACACTCTCTTGCTGCACCTGGAATGGCTCTCGGTCTCATCACGGGAAGGAACAGCCAACAAGTTCACTAATTGGCCTGTTGTATTCATTCCTATTCTCAAGGCTAATTATTGGTTTAATGAAGGCATTTTGCTTTGATCATAAATGCCATCACATAAAATATCTGATGAAATCTAGGGCTTGAGAGATGGCTCAGCAGGTAAGTTCCTATTTCTGTTGCAGAAGACTTGCTCGTCAGTTCCCAGCATCCTTGTGGAGTGGCTAACAAGCCCTTGTAACCTCAGCTCCAAAGGAGTCAATATCACGGGTCTCTGTAGGTGGGTACCTGCCCTCACAAGCATGTGTCCACACAAAGACATGCATGCTCACGCATAACTAAAAATAAATACATATTCAGAAATGTGATGCATCTTGACCGCGTCGTTATGAGGACCTAACATAGGGGTGAAGTGCTTTCATTAGAACTTACAGGTGGAGGGGCTGGCTTAGTGGGCAAAAGAGCTTGCCACCCAAGTGTGAGGATCTGCATTCAAATCCCCAGAATTCACACTGGCTGTGTCCTGAGCACCCACAGCCCAGCTCTCCTGTGGGGAGATGGTGGGTAGAGACAGGAGAATCCCCTGAAAAGAGCTAGCCTGCTGTATGCAGAGGGAAAAACCACCAAGAGACCCTGTCTCAAACAAAGACACACCTACAATAGGACACGGACAAACACCCACAGTTGTCCTCTGATCTCTACACACATGCCGCGGCATGTGCATACCATGTATGTACACATACCTACATGCATACCATACACCATACATGCACGCACATAAAGAATTTATGAACACTGTAACAACTAATTACCTCTGAGATGTTTAAAGCTTAAATAGCAGCTGGAGAGATGGCTCGGCTGCTCTACCAGAGGACCCAGATTCAATTCTCAGCACCCACCTGGCAGCTCACAACCATCTGTAACTCTAGTCTTGGGATCCATTGCCCTCTTCTGGCCTCCAAGGGCATTGCATGCATGCAATGCACAGATACACATGTGGGCAAACACCCATACACAGAACAAAAGTTAAATAGAAACATACTCATGGATTCAAAATTGTTGTCTACTTTACATATTAGTTCATACATTTATGAACAAACTGTGTGGGGGGTTATTTGTGAAAAATCACCATCTTCTTGGTGAGGATTCCAACAGGCTACATTAAGCTATTTGTTTACTTAAGATTTCTTTGTGTTCCTATGACATCTTTTCCTTTTTGCAGCTCACAGTGCTTAATGAATATTAACTCAAGAATCAGCGCTACAGGAAAGCTGAGGAGAGAAGCTGGCAAATATTAATATACTGCTCTCAGGACAGAAGGTCTGGAGTCTGCCTGGAAAATCTACGGAGCATCTGACACTTGCATGCCGATGTATTATCAGAGTGCATTGTGGAATTTGTTTGATGTGTATGTGACTGGTCATTTGCTCCTGGGCATCTTTTCAGTTGAGAAAAAAAGAACTGATAACAACACAGTATATTGTTGAACTGAAAAGTAAACCAAATTGCAAACAGTATAGGCCGTCCTTTTGGGAGGCAAAACCAAAAATAAAACACAAACGTTTGTTTCTTCAGCCACTGCTCATTCTGTTGCTGTGACAAACACCACAACCGAAAGTAGTCTATGGGAGAAACGGATTTATCTGGCTTACATTTCTAGGTCACAGTCCGTCACTGAGGGAAGTCAAGGCAGGACATCAAACAGAAACTTAAAGCAGAAACCGTGGAGGAATGCTGCTTGCTGGCTCCCCCACGGCTCTTGCTTAGCTGGCTTCCTGATAAACCCCAGGACCACCTCTCCAAATAAGGGTGCAGTCCACAGTGGCCTAGGCCCTTCCAGATCAATTAGCCATCACGGAAAATGTCTCACAGACAGGTCCACAGGCCAGTCTGAGCAAGGGCCTTCCTCAATTGAGTCTCTTCCATCAGGTGACTCCAGAACTAACAAGCCGCCAACTCAAGTTGACAAGGACACCCACCCAAACCTAAAACTAACTGAACGTCTATCTTACATCAGACCCAGTGCCGTGTGTCTTATGTGTGTGTCTCTAATAATCACACCTGCCTTGCAAGATGTGTTCGGAGCACAAAGGTCCTTGCACCTACAGGTCACCAGGGAAACCAGGAATGTTGAGCAGGCAGGGTCCTCTTTCAAAGCAAAAGATGTATAACCTGTTTTTCCACCCAGAAGGCTGGGAACTGGAGGTGATTAATGGTCCTGTGGGCCGTATTATCTGAAGAGTCAGGCCATACCAAGCTTCTACAACCAGGACTGGAGTTACCTAATAGTCTCAATGACCCTTACATTATCTGTATGACCAGGGGCTCCCACAACCAAGACCAGAGGTGGCTAATAGCCCAAATGACCTCTACACTATCTCTGACTGAGACCACACCAGATCTTCCCCCAGGTCTTTTAACTAATACATGCAACCTATCTCTAGAACCCATCTTCCTGATACCTACCAAGTTGATTTTCAATGTAATTATGCCTCCTTGTGCACTGGGGATTGTGTTCCACCAGGGAAACTTTTTTCCAAATTGCAACGTGTTTAAATATGCCTACAATAAACTGCCTGGCATCAGGCTAAAGACATTTCATCCAGCCTGGCTCATTAAGTCGGGCTGAAGCAAGTTTTCCTTCTTCCTCTTTTTTGTTTGTTTGTTTGTTTTTTGGTTTTTCGAGACAGGGTTTCTCCGTGTAGTTTTGGTGCTGGTCCTGGATCTCGCTCTGTAGATCATTCTGGCCTCAAAGTTACAGAGATATGCCTGGCTCTGCCTCCAGAGTGCTGGGATTAAAGGCATATGACACCGACACCCGGCTCCTTCTTGCCTCTTAGCAGATAGCTTTGCTGCCAGCCATGATGCTTGAAAGGATCCTCCCCCCCAACTCGCCCCCCCACTCCCCACTCCCATCCCCCAAATCAACACAACAGTTTTGCTTTTGCAGGTCAGAGAAGTGCCAGGTGCCAGTGTGAGAATTTAAGACATACCACTGCAAGTGGAGAATTGACTAAGGGAACTTGAGGCCAGGTTCAATATTCAGAAATATTTCTTCTTTCCGGTTCTCTGCCTCATGATACGCATCTTTTTATTCATTTGGCACTTGAAAATCTGAATCTGAGTCTAAAGTGTTTCAAAATGGAAAAGCTTTGAATACCAGCATGATCCACCTGGCCTTGTGTGATGGGTCACAATCAAAACACAGGAGCATGCAAGAAGTAAAAATGGATAAACCATATCTGAAAAAAGTGTTCCTCATGAGAGAAATACAAATTTCAATTACTGTGAGATTTCATCTTACTCCATCCAGTCAGAATGGTTAAGCTCAAGAAAACAACTGATACCGAGTCTGGAATAGGACACTGAGTCTTTGGAGTACATGTCCGTTGAGTGGGATGGCTAGGTCCAACAGGGGATCTACTTCTAGCTTTTTCAGACTTCTCCACACTGATTTCCAAAGTGGCTGCACCAGTTCACAATCCCACCTCTTTCTCCACATCTTCACCCACATTTGTTGTCAATTGTTTTCTTTCTTTCTTTCTTTCTTTTTTTTTCTTTTATTTTTCTTTTTCTTTTTTTGATACAGGGTTTCTCTGTGTAGCTTTAGTGCTTTGTAGACCAGGCTGGCCTCAAACTCACAGAGATCCGCCTGGCTCTGCCTCCCGAGTGCTGGGATTAAAGGCGTGCGCCACCACAACCTGGCCCAAATCTTTAAATTTGAGTATACAACCTGAAGTAACTTCAGAAGCCACAGAGGTAGAAAGGGATGGTGATGGGAGTGGGGATGGGGCTCTAAAGGGGGGCTAATAGGATACAGGTGGAGATGGGAAGGTGGAAATGGGAAAAAAACAAGGCAGGACTTTAATTGGGAAGGGAGGGGGAAGGTAATACAGAGAGAGAGAGAGAGAAAGAGGAGAAATAAACAACACTAAGGACATTTGAAATATTTGGTTTTTCGAGACAAGGTTTCTTTGTGTAGCCCTGGCTGTCCTAGAACTCACTCTGTAGACTAGGCTGGCCTCAAAATCCACTTGGCTCTGCCTCCTGAGTGCTGGGATTAAAGGTATGCCCATTTTTAATGGAATTTTTTTGACTGGATGTAGTAAGATGAAATCTCACAGTAATTGAAATTTGTATTTCTCTAATGAGGAACACTTTTTTCAGATATGGTTTATCCATTTTTACTTCTTGCATGCTCCTGTGTTTTGATTGTGACCCGTCACACAAGGCCAGGTGGATCGTGCTGGTATTCAAAGCTTTTCCATTTTGAAACACTTTAGATTCAGATTCAGATTTTCAAGTGCCAAATGAATAAAAATTCTTAAACAGGGGGTGATAACACAGGTGGTGATAACACTCCTCCCAAGAGCCATAAGCTATCTAACAAAAACCCAGTTAGTGCCAGGCAAGGGAACCCTTCCAGCAAGTTGTTGTGGGAGGGAGGGGATCTTAGTTACTGTTTTATTGCTGTGAAGAGACACCATGACCAAGGCAACCCTTGTAAAAGAAAGTATTTAACTAGGGGCTTGTTTACAGTTTTAGAGTCTAGTCCAAAATCAAGGTGGGAAGCAGACAATTATGGCACTGGAGCAGTAGCTAAGAGGTTTATATCCTGCTCTGCAGGCAGAGAGAGAGAGAAAAACACTGGGCCTGGTGTGGGCTTTTGAAACCTCAGAATCCACCCCCAGGGACATGCTTCCTTCAACAAGGCCACACCTGCTCCATCAAGGCCACACCTCCTAATCCTTCTAATCCTTCTCAAATAGTTCCACTCCCTGGTGACTCGGCAAATATACGAGCCTGTGGGGGCCACTCTCATCCAAACTACCACAGGGCCTAAGAAACTCCCCAATGGGCTGGAGAGACGGCTCAGAGGTTAAGAGCACTGGCTGCTCTTCCTGAGATCCTGAGTTCAATTTCCAGCAACCACATGGTGGCTCACAGTCATCTATAATTTGATCTGGTCCCCTCTTCTGGTGTGTAGGCAGAATACTGTATATGTAATAAATAAATAAATCCTTAAAGAAGAAGAAGAAGAAGAAGAAGAAGAAGAAGAAGAAGAAGAAGAAGAAGAAGAAGAAGTCCCCAAACAACATATGCTGTCGCCATTGTCCTTGGATGCCTGTCACTTGAAGGTAAAATCCTATGGCCAAGACACACTCCATGCACTTTGGACACAATGAAGGGATTTTAAAAAAAGGCAAAGTGGGTGCCTTTCGGGCCCTGCCAAGGTGTGCCACTCAGCAAGCATGCCATGGCCACGATGCAAGAGGTTCATTGGGGGAGGGGAAGAGTGAAGGAGTGAAAGACTGTGTCAGAGTGGGGACATGAGAGAGGCAGGCAGACAGACAGACAGAGGGACAGGGAGACCGAGAGAAGAGGGTAGAGACAAAAAGAAGAGAGGCAAGAGAGCGAGCTGTGCCTGGCGGGCACTCTTAAGGGTGCACATGTTGTATCGCTGACAGTGGAAAGGCACCCAGCCGTGGCGATGATGACACAGCTTCAGCGGCAGAGGCAGCATCTTCGCGCACGGTTCCTTTCCACATTGGCATCAAAGCATGATCTCCTGGAAGGGACCATTAATTTCCTCAGTGACGAGGCTTAAGGAGTCCCCTCCATGCTTCTCTTAAAACAGCATTTCCTGGGGCTGTCACAACTGTCCGTAACCCTGCCATTGCCTTCCATGTTTAATCTACGTTTGAAACTCTCTCTGGCATCCGCTGTGTGGTCCTCTTGCAGCCGTAGGCCACCCGAAAATACCATGAAATCTCAGCGACGTGGCTGCCTAAACAAGACCTGAACAGGGGTGATGCCAACAGACATGCTAACACGGAAAGGGGAAGAAGTCTCATGGAGCCTCAACCCTAGACAAAGAGTAACAGACAACCGAGGAACGCCGAGTGGCAGAACGCAGTTGTCGCCAAGGAGAGTCCCCCGCCTGGCTTAGCTAATGCCAGGCACTCAGCCCTGAAATCATACAAACAACGTTATAGGAACTAAGCAGAATGTATTTATGTCTTTAGGAGCATATATATATATATATATATATATATATATATATATATATATGCATGCATATATTCATATTCATAATAAATAGAGAAAAAGAGACCAGAGGCCATAAATTTGAGAAGGGCTATACAGGAGGGGTTGAAGGGAGAAAAAGGAAAAATGATGTAATTTTATTTTAGTTTCAAAATTTTATTTTAGTTTCAGCTTCTGAGACTTGGCAGCATGGGAGTGGATCACATCGCTTTCTATTTTCATCCGTCACCATCTATTTGGGGTCCCTAGGCAAGTGCCTCCAAGACTCGCTTCTAATTGTGTCTTCTCCTAAACTCTCCAGTGTTTCCCAGGGCCCTTCCTACCATCTTCTTAAGTAGTCCAACTTGTGAAAAGCCATCACGGGTGAGAGTCTGAGGATTTACCCAGGCCCTTTCCTAGCATAACAACCTTGCCCTGACATCTCCTCAGCAGGGCTCAGGGGAAGGGCTGGAGGGGAGCAAGATGACAGCCAGATACAGAACCTTACACCATGCTCCATCTGGTATTACTGCAGCAGTTACGGCCA